TAAATTTGTGAATATCTCCCTCCATTCTCCAAATTGTTGTATTTTCCATTTTGGTAGTATTGTTTGAAAAGTAAAAATAATTAATTCTGACAAAGGCTAGTTTATCTATTTTGAACTTATTTGGGTTTTTTGTGTCATATGCAAGAAACTAGTGTTTCAGGGGTTTTGCTAAAGTCACAAATATGACATACTCTTATGTTTTATCTTTAGAAAGAGTTTTTATGGTGTTTCAATCTTAAAGTTTTATCTCAGACTATTTTGAGTTACTTTTTACATATGGTGTAAGGTAGGGGATCCAACTTCACTCTTACTTATGAGTCTCAAGTTCAGCAATATGTTGAAAAGTCTATTCTTGTCCTCATCTAATTATCTTGGTACTCTCGCAGAGAATCAATTGGCCACAAATGTAAAGGTTTATTACTGGACAATTAACTTTATTTCATTGATCTGTATGTTTTCCTTACGTCAGTACCACAGTTTTTATTTTTATTTTTATTTATTTATTTGAAAGTCAGAGTTACACAGAGAGAGAAGGAGAGGCAGAGAGAGAGAGAGAGAGAGAGAGAGAGGGGTCTTCCATCCGTTGGTTGACTCCTCAGAAGGCTGCAACGACCAGAGCTACGCCAATCCGAAGCCAAGAGCCAGGAGTTTCTTCCTGGCCTCCCATGTGGATGCAGGGGCCCAAGGACTTGGGCCATCTTTCTCTGCTTTCCCAGGCCATAACAGAGAGCTAAATTGGAAGTGGAGCAGCCGGGACTCGAACTGGCCCCATATGGGATGCCAGTATGGCAGGTGGTGGCTTTACCTGCTATGCCGCAGCGCCGGCCCCAATACAATCTTTATTACCATAGATTTACAATAGGTTTTGAAGTGTGAGAACTTCCAAGACTGTTTAGGCCATTCTGGGTTCCAGTCATTTCCTTGTGAATATCACCATCAGTTTACCAATATCTGCAATAAAAGCTAGTTCGAATTTTGTTAGAGATTATGTCATATCAGTAGATCAATTTCAGAAGAATTGTTACCTTAATAATATTAAGTCTGCTTATCCATGGGCTTGAGGAATATTTCTATTTATTTAGGTCTTTAATCTATCTTAACAATGTTTTATAGTTTTCAGCATGTAAACCTTGTATTCCCATTTGTTAAATTTATCCCTGAAGTTTATTCATTTTGATGCTATTAAGAATGAAATTATTTGGGCTGGTGCTGTGGTACAGTAGGTTAAGCCGCCATCTGCAGTGCCAACATTCCATTTGGGTGCCAGTTCGAGTCCCAGTTGCTCCACTTCCAATCCAGCTCCCTGCTAATGTACTTGATAAAGCAGCAGAAGATGGCCCAAGTCCCCGGAAAGACTCCTGGCTCCTGGCTTCAGCCTAGCCCAGCTCCAGCCATTGTAGCCATTTGGAGAGTGAACCAGCAGATAGATCTCTGTCTCCATTCCTCCTCTCTCTCTCTCTGTAACTCTGCATTTTGAATAAATAAATCTTGTAGAAATGAAATTATTTTCTTAAGTTCTTTTTTAAGTTAACAAATAATTGTATATATTCATGAAGTACAATATGATGATTTGATGTATTTATACATCGTGGAATGATTTAATCAAGCTAAGTAACATGTCTATCACCTCATATACTTATCATTTTCTGAGCACATTTGAAGTTTATTTTCTTAGCAATTTTGAAATATTAACTATAGTCAATATATATTAACAGCATTAGCTATGGCCTCCATGTTGTTCAATGGCAAATATTTATTTATTTACTTGAAAGGCAGAGTTACAGGAGCAGACAGGATGCAAACTGGTGCCCATATACGGGTGAGATGCTGCCATCTTAGGCGGTGGCTCAACCCACTGCACCACAACACCGGTCCCCTAACTGAAACTTCATATCCTTAGACCAGCATCTCCTCTCCCCTCTCCCCCAGCCTCTGGTAGCCATCAGTTCTATTCTGTATTCCAATGAGTTCCACTGTTTCAGATTCTACAAGTAAGTAAGATTGTGCAGTATTTGCCTTCTTGTGTCTGGCTTGTTTCACTTAACATAATTTCCTCCAGGTGTATCCATAATGGCATTTTTTTTATCCATAAATTTATTTATCCATAAAAGGCATTATTTATTTCTTGTTAAAGACTGAGTAATATTTCATCATGTGGGGGCTGGTGCTGTGGTGTAGCGGGTAAAGCCATTGCCTGCAGTGCCAGCATCCCTTATGGGCACCAGCTTGAGTCCTGGCTGTTCTACTTCCGATCCAGCTCTCTGCTATGTCCTGGGAAAGCAGTAGAAGATGACCCAAGTCCTTGGGCCCCTGCACCCACATGGGAGACCCAGAAGAAGCTCCTGGCTCCTGGCTTCAGAGCAGCGCAGCTCCGGCCATTGTGGCTAATTGGGTAGTAAACCAGGAGATGCAAGACCTCTCTCTCTTTCTCTCTCTCTCTCTCTCTGCCTCTCCTTCTCTCTCTGTGTAACTCTGCCTTTCAAATAAATAAATAGATCTTCAAAAAATATATTCCATTGTGTATATGCCGCGTTTTCTTTGTTCTTGCATTCATCAATGTACACTTATGTTAATTCAATATCTTGGCTATTGTGAATAATGCTGCAATGAACTTGGGAGTGCAGATATTCCTTCAACACACTGATTTCAACTGAGATACATGATCAGAAGTGGGGTTGATGGATCATATGGTGGTTCTATTCTTACCTGTTTCTTGGAACCTCCACGCAGTTTTCCATATGGCTATCCTACCATAGACACACCCACGGTGTACCAGGATTGTCTTTCCTCTATATCTTTGCCAGCACTCGTGTGGAGCCGCTCAAGTCTCTGCTCAGTTAACTTAGCGGTCAGTTAATGACTAGTCTTCCACTCTTTTCCAAGGGACTCTGAGTACTGGGGCATCTCTGTGGTGCTAAGGCAATTTACAACTCTGCTTTAGGCTTTATTTCCTGCTTGTGCAGAGCCTTATAGTCGGGCAGAGATGAGAGACCGGGACCTTCCCTGGTCCTCTTGAGGCTATGCGCATAGCCTTGTACATGTACCAAATTTGCTAGATCCCTGGGAATATGTCAGAGCGTTTCAGAGTGCCTGTGGAAATCGGAGTCCTCAGATATTCCTTTTACACTTCTGGCCACTTTTTAAAAAGATTTATTCATTTATTTGAAAGGCAGAGTTACAGAGACACAGAGAGAGACAGAGAGGGAATCTTTCATCCACTGGTTTACTTCCTAAATGGCCTCAACATCTGGAGTTGGGCCAATCCAAACCAGGAGCTTCTTTCGAGTCTCCCACATGGGTGCAGGGGCCCGAGGACTTGGACCATCTTCTACTGCTTTCCCAGGCCATCAGCAGGAAGCTGGATTGGAAGTGTAGCAGCCAAGACTCGAACCAGCGCGCACATGGGAGGCCGGCACTGCAGGCAGCACCAGCTCCTTGGGCAGACTCTCCCTGGAGTCGTTTTTCTACCTGCAGTGCTAACAACAACTGCTGAGAGTTTTTGGTAAATCGTCTGGAAGTGGAGATTTTCCTGTGGAGTGAGCTCTGGGTCAAGCCAAGTATCAACACTATCCCATTAATGGGAAATTTCCAGGAGTCTGAAGACAGAAAAGTAAGGGCGGTGCTCGAGAGACAAGCCATTCTGCAGAATTTCAAGTTCAGTCTGCTTCCTGGAGTGGCTGCAAGTTTGCTGATTTTCACAGCTGCCAAGGTTGCCAGGTTGCCAGTGACATCAAAGCTAATGTGGATAGAGTGGCATGGAGATAAGGCAAGGTCAAATGCCATAAACCTTACTGCTCTTACTGAAATCTAACAGGTTTTCTTAATCAATATTTCTGAGATATTTGCAAACCTTTGTTTATTTCCCAGAGTTGTAAAAACATTGATATTGACTATTTTCCTAGTGTTTTTGTTATTTTTATAGGGGAGCACAGTGACAGAGTCCTGGCTCTGCCAGTTGGGAGGTCCTGGGACCGCCATTGTTTTGTTGCACTAGAAAAAAACACTTCAGCACCTTTCCTCTCCCAACAAAGCATTTTGGCAAAACCCCTGACCCATTAGATCTTTGGGGGCAGCACGTTCAGAAAGGTGCTGGCACTTTGTCTCATTCTTGGAGATTGCCAATGCCTATGAGCGTTTGCTAGGTTCTTGGAAGTCTGGCTGTCAGGAATCTGTGTAATTTTGGTTACTAAGGGGTCCTGGACATATTTGTCTGCACAACTGTTTTGGTTTGTTCTATTTGTTCCTTAATTAGTGCCCTTCAGAGACCTCTGAGGCAACCTCAGAGGTGAGCTCTGGGCCTAGTTTTTGGGTCACATTTTAGAATGAACGCCTCAGCAGTTGGGTGTGTGAAGAGAGTGGCCGAGATGCCCAGGAAATATCATTGAACTTCTCTGAGTCTTCGTTTCTATAGTGTTATACCCGATCTGATTTCTCATAGGGCTGGGAAGCTTTTTCCCCTCCTAGAGTTGAGGATGTGGGTCCAGCTGCTTTCCAGCTCCACCGCAAATATCCTGTGTGACCTAAGAAAATTACTCCATCCACGTGGTTTTCTTTCCTTCTACCCAAGAAAGGACAGGTAACAGACTGCAGAACAATGCGTGGGTTTTGTCCTTAGCTAATTACAGGTTCTTTTTAAAAATGAGATATTTATTTATTTGAAAAATACATTTTTTTTTGACAGGCAGAGTGGACAGAGAGAGAGAGAGACAGAGAGAAAGGTCTTCCTTTTGCCGTTGGTTCACCCTCCAATGGCCGCCGTGGCCGGCGCACCGCGCTGATCCGAAGGCAGGAGCCAGGTGCTTCTCCTGGTCTCCATGGTGTGCAGGGCCCAAGTACTTGGGCCATCCTCCACTGCACTCCCTGGCCACAGCAGAGTGCTGGCCTGGAAGAGGGGCAACCGGGACAGAATCCGGCACCCCGACCGGGACTAGAACCCGGTATGCTGGCACCACAAGGCGGAGGATTAGCCTAGTGAGCCGCGGCGCCGGCAGAGAGATACATTTTTAAAAGATCTATTTATTTTATTTGAAAAGCAGCATTACAGAGAGACAGAGAGAGAAATCTTCTATCCTCTGGTTCACTCCCCAGATGGCTGCAACAGCCGGAGCTGGGCTGATCTGAAGCCAGGAGCCAGGAGTTCCTTCTGGGTCTCCCAAGTGGGTGCAGGGACCCAAGGACTTGGGCCATCTTCCACTGCTTCCCTAGGCCACAGCAGAGAGCTGGATCGGAAGTGAAGCAGCCAGGACTCAAATTGGTGTCCATATGAGATGCTGGCACTGCAGGATGCGGGTTTATCTGCTATGCCAAAGTGCCGGCTGCAAGTATTTAAAAGATTTTAAAAGGATCTCAAAACTGTCAAGTGAGGACATTTCTTACTCATTCTATCTGTGCTGCTTCTGCCCTTATTTAAGCACTAAAATCATGTTTAGTCTTTTCCATCCAGAAACTAGATGCTGCACAGAGTGTCTTTTGCACACCTGCTTCTCTTTGTTCACTACCCCCACCCCCTTCCTCTCTTCTAATAACAGATTCTTAGAAGCCACCCAGACAGGGTACAGTGGAGCTGCTGGCGGGAATTTTGTGATCATGCAAAGGTGCACATATGCCACTGTTAACACAGCACCCCCGGCCCCACATACACAGAACACGCTAGTGGGTGCTGAAGCCCAGCCGGGCTGCTGTGGCAGGGGTCCTCAGGCAGGTTACCTCCTGCTGAGAGCAGCCCTGTCCCTCTCTCCCAGGGCTGGTGCAAACATTCCTCCAGGAGCCTAGAAGGCTCAGAGAACCCCCCACTCAGCAGTGAAGGGCTCCACGTGCCACTCAGCCTGGCTGAAGGTCGGGAAAGTGATCCTTGCTCTGTCTTTGTCATGACTCGGGGATTGTCATCTGTCTTTCCTGTGTCTGCTTTGTAGTAGCAATGAAGGCATTGAACCACATGATCTTTTTTTTTTTTTTTCTTTTTGGCATCCCTGGGTGGGCACGAACGTGATTTCTACAGTAGCTGCGAGCTCTGGAGCTCCTTGAATTTTATGCAATGCAATTTCCTTAAAGTGCAGAGAGTCCCGTGTCAGACATGGCCAAGGTCCCACCAAGAGCCCGTCACAGCCCCCACTTCTGGAAAACGGTCTCTTTTTGGTTTCCAGCAGCACAGCAATTGTGGACTTTCTGCCACATGGCCTGCAAACTGTGCCTGGGCCGAATGTGTAGGAGGAGCAAGCCAGGGATGCCTGCATGCAGCTCACCAGTTCCCACTGCTTCCTCATCTGAGCTGAAGCAGAGGAAGCCCCCGCCCCTCAGCCCCCACAGTGTGCAGGGTGGGGACCTCCTGTGTTCTATGGAGCCAGCCCTCTGCCCACGGCCTCTCTGCCCACCCCCACCAGCTCTGCTGTCCAAGCAGTGACTGCTGTGGGATGTGCCACGAGCAGCCTCAAGTCAGAGTGGAGGGGAACTTTTCACCCGAGGCTGTTCCCCGCTGACAGCTCTAATTGTACTTTTGTAACTACAGCAAGGTGAGGAGATACACATGCACATTTGCACGTATGCACACACATGCATACACATGCACAATGCACACGTGTGCACACATGCACACACACACATGCACGCAGGAGGTAAAGAGCACTGAAGACTTCGCTGCTTTCCCTAACACAGCAAAGCAAGACCGCGGCGCCACTGCCAATGTCGGATTGACCTGCAGTGTCCTTGGCATTTTTCCAGAAAGAGAGTTGGGCCTGTGAAGGTCACACAGGGGCCAGATGCCCTGTGCAGTGCCCTGAATCCCTCCTGAACTTGCTTGCTGGTGAGTGCGTCACATCCTGCCCGAGGCTGCCTAGGTGAGGCTGGAAGCCTTCCCAGCTGCAGGTGGTGCTGGGGTCAAGGCTGCACCCAGACAGAAGGATGGGGGGCAGGAGCAGCCACTGCAGGCCTGGGCCTGGCACACTGGTGTGACTTCCTCTTGCTGGAGGACTTGGCTTATCTCGGATGCCAGCAGGCACCTCCAGCTCATCCCGTCCGGAACCAATGCCTTCTTTCTGCCCAGCCAGCCCTAATCTCCTCCATCTTTCCATGTAACTCAGCATCACCCCCACCCCATTCATCTCTCATATTCCTCTGCCTCCAGGGGGCATTGGAACCATCTTTTGAGTCCATGCTATGAGCACCTCCCCAAGGATCTCCTGGTGTCTCCTTGTGTCTATAGTTGATCCTCCAAAAACAGCAGGTGCAAGATTTTGTCAATGTAAGTTACACTATGTAGCTTTCTTGTCTAAAACCCTCTGCTGGCTTCCCAGCTCCTTACCCTGGCCTAGAGCTCCCACCTCCCTCCCCAACTGCTTCATTCTGAGTCCCCTTTTCCCAGCCTTCTGTTCTTGAGCACTCTCACTTGTCCTACCACAGGATTTCTGCATTGTTATTTTTTTTTTTTGAAGACTTATTTACTTGAAAGTCAGAGTTACACACACAGAGAGAGGAGAGGCAGAGAGAGAAGGAGAGGCAGAGGGAGAAGGAGAGGCAGAGGGAGAGAGAGGTCTTCCATCTGCTGGTTCACTCCCCAATTGGCCACAACGGCCAGAGCTGCGCTGATATGACGCCAGGAGACAGGAGCTTCCTCCAGGTCTTCCCAAAGACTTGGGCCATCTTCCCTTGCTTTCCCAGGCCATAGCAGAGAGCTGGATTGGAAGTGGAGCAGCCAGGACTCAAACTGATGCCCATATGGGATGCCGGCGTTGCAGGCAACAGCTTCACCTGCTATACCACAGTGCCTGCCCCGCATTTGTTCTTCCTTCCGCTTGAAACACCCTCAGTGTGTCTAGGGCCAGAGCACTCTCATCACCTCCTTGGAAGAGTGGGTCACCGACCACCCCGTGAGGAGAGCACCGTTTCCTCTCCACCCCTGCCACCAAATGCTTCCTGTTTTATTCATCGCAGCCAAGGCTTTCCAAAAGTTCAGTGATCATTTTTTTACAGTGTTTGTTTTCTTGCAAGAACGAGAGCTGCCTAGACCTGCCATGGGAGGGATGCGTTGAGAAGCACAGGTCCTGTTTCCAGAAGTCACCACGTGGAGAATAGCACTTCCACCCCGGGGGTCTCTGGCAGCAGGGCACGGCAGGACGAGGCAGGTCACTCCAGATTTCAGCAGAGACCTGGGAGTTCCCCTGTTCTGAGAGACACGGCTCAGCTGTGGCTGGGGACCAGCAGCTCACGGCCAAGTTCGCGGAGCTCCCTCTCCTGCTAGCTGTGTGTCCTTCTGAGTAGTGGGAAGGAAGAGACAAGGTGAGAAGTAGCCCGGTAATTCGACTTTCTCTTTTAGCTTTGCCTTATTATCTGATAATTTTATAGCAACCAGTATTAGGAAAAACAAGATGATTGTTAAAAAAATTATTTCTATAGGTTGGTACGAGAGAGAGAGGGAGAGAGAGAGGGGGAGAGAAAGAGGGAGAGAGGGAGAGAGAGAGAGGGAGAGGGAGAAAGAGAGAGAGAGGGAGAGAGAGAGAGAGAGGGAGAGGGAGAGAGAGAAGGAGAGAGGGAGAGAGGGAGAGGGAGAGGGAGAGAGAGAGGAGAGAACTACTAATAGCTTATCTTTAAAATTCCCTAAAAATAGGAACCATGTATAACCATGTGCGAATCGGCAGCTGACAGCCAGATTTTGTAAATAAAGTTTTATTAGAACACAGCTGTCTGCATCCTTCTTGCTACAATATCAGAACTGAGCAGTTGGGACATAAACCTTGCCTAAAGCATGCGCTGCCTGTGTCTTTCCAGGAGAAATCCGTCAGCTCCGACCTGAGACAGGGAGTTCCCTGCTCGCTGCGTGTCCTGGCACCGTGCAAGCACAGCTTCCTGCACCTGCTCTGTGTCTCCTGCCCTCATCTCGCCTGTCTGTCCACTCTCTCTGCGGAAAATCAGAAAGGAGATTCACCTTCACATCTTCACAGGGCCTGGCACACTTGCAGCCTGTAGGGAAGTATTATGTTACGCTATATTATATTATGATCATCGGTATTTCCATTCTGTTCGTGTGAGACGTCTCAGCTGATCCTTCAATAGTCAGATATGGGACTGCTCCGGTGACAGAGGGGTCCCCTCCCCACAAGGCGCCTCCTGTGCAGCTCACCACTGCCTGGTCACAGGTGCACCCCGTCTCTTAACAACTCTTGGCCACGCTGGGCAGTGCCCCCAGGTCTAGATGCCTAGAGAGGCCTCTTCAGGGCCAAGGCAGCAGCAACCAGGAAGAAGATGTGTAACTTCTTGCAGTCTCCCCGAGCCAGACTGGGGGTGGGCAGTGTGGATTAGGCACAGTCTCACAGGAGGAGTTGCATTTTTTAAGAAATGCCGTTTTGTTCCTTTCACACAAAAGCACCTGGCCTTTGGCTTAGCACCACGCTGAGCTTGAAATGAAAAGTGTGAATTCATTTGCAAGTCTCAGCAAACACCAATGGCACAAAGCAGGCAGCCCGGTCTAATGTGTATAATCTGCCCCCAGTCGTGTGTGTATTATGAATTAGCTTTTTAACACTCTCTTCACAAGTAAGTCAAGGCAAATAGCAGCCAAGCATAGCTCCCAGCCAGACCAAGGGATCGCATTCTAGGCCAGTAGAATTCAATTAACGAGCTTGTAAAGGCAGCAGCAGGCCCAATAACTCATGTGCTGTAAGAGGGGACATGTCTGTCACACAGCCTGTAGGACCTGTATGTGTGTGTGGCCATGTCTGTGTTAGCACGTGCGCACTCATGTGGGCCAGCATGTGTGTGTGGCCATGGCTGTTAGCATGTGTTCATGCTTGTGTGCCAGCATGTATGTGCATGTGGCCGTGTCTGTGTTAACATGTGTGCACACATGTGGGTCAGCATGTGTGGCCATGTCTGCATTAGCACGTGCACACATGTGGGCCAGTATATGTGTCCATGTCTGTTAGCACATGTGCACACATGTGGGCCAGCATGTGTGTGGCCATGTCTGTGTCAGCACATGGCACACATGTGTGGTCATGTCTGTGTTGGCATGTGTGCATGCACGTGTGCGGCCATGTCAGTGTTGGCATGGGGGCATTTATGTGCAGGGCATGTGAAGTCCAGTGTTCTAGGGACTCATGGAGGTTGCCTGTGAGCTTCTCTCCCCTCTTGTCCCCAATCCAGAGAAGCAGCCCCCTGCTCTCTCTCTCTCTCTGCTCCCACAAACAGCATGCCAAGCGTTGCAGATCATCTCCCAGAGACCTCGCAGGTTAATGAACTCACAGTGAATGAACTCATCTGGCCACCACTCTGTGGGAGCCACTGGGGGCCTCCTGCTAGATGCTAGAGCTTAATTGAAGAACTGCAGGCTACCAGGTCAGCTGGTGGCCCTGTAGGCTTGACTAATTGTCATATTTTGCTCATTAAGTTTCTGGAAGGAGACATAAGCTGGATCCCTCACAACCGCCCCAATCCCTAAAATAAGCATAATCTGCATATTCCTGGGGAGCTGGCAGCTCCGCAGGCCCAAGGTGCATAGCAGGGCCCAGCAGCAGAGCAGGCAGCTGCCAAGTGCGCCTGGACAGACTCTGAGGGTCTCCACCCGACAGGGTAGCAGAGTGAGATGGGGCTTCTCCCTCCACCCATCCGGGGAAGTCAGCAGATAGGGTCGGATAAGAAACGTGGACAATAAGATCCACCTTCTCTCTGTCTCCTCAGGAGCTCTGCCTCGTCTTCCCACCCTGGGCTCTGCAGGTCTCCAGGCTGATCCTCAGGCCGGCCTTCTGGGAAGCTCGTCCAATGCAGATCGCTGCCAGGGCCTGGGAGTCTGCGTTCAGTATGTTGATGCTGAGGCAAATCATGCACAGACCTGCTGAGCATCTCGCCAGGGCCCCCTGGGGTGTCACCACATGCCTTGGGGTCTAGGCTCTGTTATCCGAGATGGGTGGGACTGGTTCTTGTCTTTGCACAAGAATATTTTAACTGAAGCTGTGGACCAGATCCAATCAAAGTTAAGGAAATAGGCAGATAACATTAACTCCCGTCAGACTCAGTTCTCCCAAACAATCAAGGTTCAATAAGGGCAACAGAATAATGCAGGAAACCTTCCCCAGGACATATTAAACTCTCATGACCCGGGTCAATTACAGCATCACAGGAAAACCTTGATTATCAGCATCTGAGCCCATTACTTAGGACGGCTAAATACATCGTGAAACAGAGTGGAGACTCAGACATGCCTGCTGTCAAGAGACAGGGAAAAAGTCACCATAAACTGCAGAGAAGGGAGACAAGGTCTGTCAGGTTGGAAAGGGTTAATGGAGCAAGGCCTCTCTCTTGCTCAGGTGGGGAAACCTGTCTGGCCAGCTGTAGCCTGAGTTATCCCCCCTCTCTTCTTGACACTAGGGAGGAGGGGTAGCAAACAGGAAAAGGGGGAAGTAAGCTGGAGGTGGAACATTCCTCAGGGCGCCATGGCTCAGAACTCACCTCACCGCTGGTTCTCTTCTCTCTTGGCTGGCTCTGCCGAAAGTGCTAGTGCAGACGGGTAGAGTAGGTTCTTCCACGAGACCAGAGGAGTGACAGGCAAGGCAGCAGAGTTTAATGGGGGTAGGGCATCTGTCAGAATGGGTGAGCACTTCAGCAGATGGAATCCGAGAGAGAGAGAGAGAGAGAGAGAGAGAGAGAGAGAGAGAGAGTGCCAGTTCAGTCTCGGGTAGCAAGGTTAATAGTTTAATGGAGAGAATACACCTGCCAGGCCAGGCGGGCTTCTCTAGAAAGAGCTGAGCACACAGGCTGTATTCAGATCAGGGTTTATAAGGCAATGGGGACAAGTTTTTCCTGCCCTTTCTCCTCCCTCTTCTCCTGGACAAAGGGTTTGCTGCATGTGAAATAGGTAAAACTCCTCCTAAGGTTTTATTGTCCAATGTTATCAGGCTGGCTAACCCACCTGGCCCTGGGCAGAGAGGATTCTTCCAGGGTGCCTGCCTTGGGGGCCAGGTGGGGAGCGGGGCTGGGGGACCACCTGTTATTGGATAGGAGCAGGGCTTTGTTGCGTAAAATCCTGGGCTGCTTGCAAGGTGCACTTCTGAGGCTGCTCTGTTCCTTTCCTTTGACTTCCTCAGGCCCCTCTCACACACAGAGCTTCATTTCTAACTTCCCACCTAACAGTTCCCCGTGTCCATGCTGCAACCATTGCCTGGGCTTTGTCGGTCTTTCCCTGAGCTCCTGCACCACCCTCAGGCCTCCTCTCACGGTGTTTATTATCAGATGTGTCTGAGAACTCTCTGCGGAAACTCTTTTAATTTTTACAACAAACTCCATGAGATTGTTTTGCTTCAAATGAACAGACAGGGCATTATGGCTTCGAGGTAAAGCAGCAAGCCCAGGACCTCAGAATGTGACTTTAAAGGAAGATCACGTCTTTAAAAGACTGCTGGGATAGGTCTCATCCACAGGCACCCTTGTAAGTGGAAGGGACTGGGACACACACAGAGACACCAGGGTTGCACGCTCTCTGAGGGAAGACCACTCAGGGGACACGGGGATGACAGCCACCTGCTAGCCAAGGAGACAGACCTGGGAAGAAATGGATCTTGCCAACACGCGAATCTTGGATTTAGATTCTAGAGGTCAATAGGGTCTTTTAGGGAGTGGGCTCACCCGTCCTCAGGACCTGGAGTGTGGTTGCAAGGAGACAGGCCCCCCACCCCACCACAGGCTCCTATCAGCCTGATCCCCTGCGTCACAGATGGAACAGATCACCCCATGGCTAAAGCAGATAATTTGAAACAGCAAAGGAGAGGGTAACAAAAGTGGTTTTGATTTGGATTGAAAGTGTATGACATCATATGCATTATTTGTGCAGCAACAGCAGCATTTTGCTGTTTGGATAATTTTTTACACATGCTGATCTTGCAAGGAATTACACTTCCCAGGTTCACTTCTGCTAGTGTGTGCTTGCGGGCGTGTGGAGGTGTGGCTCGCCTGAGATCCAAGTGTGGGCATCCGGCTGTCTCCAAAGGTAGCCTCGCTGAGCACCTGCTTTGTCCTCTGTAAAACGGGTGTGGTGTCCACAGTGCAGGGCTGTTCTGGAGTGCTGAGATTTTGTGATGCCTCTCACTGACAGTGATTGATATGAATGCCAGTGCTCCTCTCAAGTACTTTTCAAAGTCACACATCTATTTCTTTCAAATTCTTTTTCTTATCAATCACAGATTTTTTTTTTTTTAATTGACCAAGTGACAAAGGAGTGAAAGCGATGTCATACTGGGAAATAAAGCAACCAGGGATAAAGTAGCTGAGCCTTAGTTTGACTGCACTACAAGTGGCCTGTGTCTGTGTCTGTGGGTCTCAGACCATGGACCTCATCAGTCCCACTTGTACCTCTGGGTCCCAGCCTCAGCTGTCTTCATGCAACACCTCACTGGAAGTCCCAAGTCTTCCCCATGCTCTGTGTATGGTTCTTCTTGCCTAGAATAAACATTTGCTGTTGTTTGCTGTTTCGTCTTGTACCTACTGCCACAAAACACTGTGCACAGTTACTAATTTAATAATTCACTGGTCTGAAGAAGAACCTGCCGGGAGCTGTCTTCCGCTAGGGGCACACGTCTGAGCAAAGCAACATGGGAAACTCTCCGCCTTGCCCTAAAGCAGCTGAGAGTCCAGTTGATGATACAGAGCTCGGGAATTTTTTCATTTAGGGGTATTCAGTGTGAACAGTGGGTGGAGGAGCAGTGTGGAGAGACTGACAGCTCTGTGGGTAGAGAGGAGGGCGGGTCAGCCTGGGGAGGGGGTCCAGGCGGGAGAGAGAAACCATCCCTGTGAAGGAAGGAATCCAGGAGAGCAGGCTGAGCAACATTCAGAGGTTGAGTGGGAGAGTGACCCTGCAGCTCTTTCCCAACAAGTCACCTGCTCCTGGTCTGAATGTTGGCAGAGCATGCAGCGTTCCTCCAACTGAGAAGGAAGCCTGAGACTGAAGAGTGAGGAAGGAAGCTCCTTATAAGAAGGACTCCATGGCATAGTGGGTAAAGCCACTGCCTGCAGTGCCAGCATCCCATATGGGCACTGGTTCGAGTCCTAGCTGCTCCACTTTTGATCTAGCTCTCTGCTATGGCCTGGGCAAGCAGTGGACTATAGCCCAAGTCCTTGGGCTCCCTGCACCTGCATGGGAGACCCGGAAGAAGCTCCTGGCTTCGGATCTGTGCAGCTCCGGCCGTTGTGGCCATTTGGGAAGTGAACCAGTGGATAGAAGACCTCTCTCAATCTCTCTCTCTCTGCCTCTTGGTAGCTTTGGGATCCGCAAGGAGAGAAGGCCTACACTTCTGGAAATGGAGAGTCCCTACCTGCACTTCCAGGAACAAAAAATCCTTGTTAAGGTCCCCGCAGGTGCCTAAAGGTCAACCAGTGAGGATCAGACCTGCTTCAACCTTTAACCCACACACCCTGTATCCCTGTATCTACAAAAGGAGCCCTCCCAACCTCTGACGTGTGACTTCCCCGGCCCCCACTCTGTTGGGACTGGTGAACCTTGCCAGGGAGTGGAATTCCAATAAAAGCTTGTGAATTAATTGATTCATCTGACTGGGAAGATTTGTTACACGCCAGACACCTTGCACCTCCCTGTAACTCTGCCTTTCAAATAAATAAATATATATTTAAAAAAGAAGAACAGACAGTTTATTAGGGCAACTTACTGATGGGACCCCAGACTAGGACGAATGGGTGATCTGGTCCAAAGGTACAGCCAGGATTCCTCTGCCCAAGGCAACAGATGGGGCAAAAGCATTATATATTTATAATTGAATAGAGTTATATATTTAAAATTGAATAGAGATGGGGTAGGAGCTTATTTTACAACCCTCCTTCATGTATGCCTTAGGCACCGGCCCCTCAGGCATTTTGACCTTAGCAAGTAGACTGGTGATAGCACTCACACTTTAGGACAGGACAACAGAATCAGCAAGCCTGGCAGGTTGCCTGCATCCTTCTGAGGTGGAGGTAGAGGCCACAATGGAGGTGGACACCCAAGATTGCATTGCAAGGGGTTGCTGCCATCTTTTCTTCCTCTGCACAGCTCCGCCAGGGAGGTGCTTGGCCCCTGGCCTTGGAGGCTGCCTTCTGTGCACTCCTTCCCTCACAGAGCAAGACAAGCCTTCTTGCTCAGGAATTAGTGGCTTAGGATGCACTCAAATCCCACTTGAGCCCACTCCCGGTGTAGATGGGACTTTACGGCGAAGAGGGCTTCAGCCAAGAACCCTGCCTGCCAAGACCCAGATGCACAGATGGTTGGGCAGGCACGGTGAGTTGGACAGTGGTTCTTCCCCAGGCTCTCTTTAATAACAGCTGCAGTAAGGAAGTGTTGTCTGATTATTGTACCACATTAGTGCACTAGAGCAGACAAAATCCTTTTGAATCAATGTGCTCCTCACCTAACACACAGTGTATAGCGTAAGGGACAAGAACAACACACAATAAGAGCACAATACAGCATAGCTCTGTATCATATAGCTCATGTATCAGTATCAGCTAGATAGCTGACACATGCTATATATTACGTATAATAAAATGACGCTGGTGAGAACAGTTCACTCTGTCTAAACACAGCCAAAATAACAAACATTCCATGGGAGACCACACGCTGGAAGCCTGGGGCCATCTGTGAATTCAGTAATAGAGATGCTGAGGAACATGCCAGCAGGTGGCTTTCTTCAGCTCCTAGGTGCCCTCCGGAGACGACGTCTCAGCTTTCCCGGTGCCCTCCCACTGGCCTGTGGACTCGGTGCCACCTCACCAGTGGTGCCTTCTGTCGTCTGCTCCACCTGAGCCAGGTGGCCCTCTGAGTCCAACACCTTCAGCCCCAGTGCCCCGCTCAGGGGAACCTCAACTGCAGACCTCGGAGCTTTCAACCCTTGTGCACCTGTTCTCATCCTGATCAAACTGTGGGATGTAGCAGCGTTCTTCAAGCTGACCGGGGCAGGCGAGGAGCCGGTGAGGAGGAGCTGGGGTTGCCAGCCACCACCTGCCCTGCCCAAACTGCCCCCATTCCATAGCTTCCATGGTTTTGACATTTACAACTGGCGCCAGCTAAGACTATGCAACATGGCTGCTGGCTGCTTCCCTCCAATGATCCTTAGCTCTTATAATTTCATTATAATATAATCACCACGACTGACACACCTACTCCCATCATGCACCTGATACCGTAACATTTCTGAGATTCCCCCACAAAAGGCCAGGAAATTGGGCAGTAAGTACTGCCTTCGCCTTTAGATAGCAAAGAAAGACAGCCCAGAACCATAAGGAGCAGAGCTCTTTCTTCCTGCGTGTGGACTTCGCCTTTGCATGTAAATGAATCTTGCTTCCCTACAGACCTTTGCCTGCCTTGTTCTTGGACTAATCTTTACTTTGGAGATAAGCCAACCCCAAAACAAAACTTCTCCCCTTGGCTGGTTGGCCAGCCCTGGAGTCAATGTAGTTTGTTGGGACTAGCAGTGTTTCCTAACAAGACAAGAGAACAGAAAACATCAGGATGCTTGCTGTACTTCTGTGTGCCCATTTCTGTCTCTGTATGTATGTGTGAATGTGTGTTTGTCTTCGTGTGTGTGTGTATGTTGGGTCACTATGTACAATGTAGTTTTCACAATTTACTGTGGATTAGGAACACAAAAGCTGGAATCCCAGGTCGAAGGGGCTGGCAGTTTCTTGTACATTTCTGTTTTATTAACAGTGCCTGCAGGGTTTCTGGGCCTGATACGTGCTTATTGAGTGAATATGTGAGTTTATTTATCAGTGAAGGAGTTAAATC